TTAATGGAGCATAAATTATCTCACCAGTATGGTGACATATAGGTGGCCAATTTGCCATACTAATGATCTCTGCAGATACAAAATCTCTGGCCTTTGAGAGATGTGAGAGATTTGAAGGTGTCTAAAGACCTTCGAGATGCGGAGAGGTGTAAAAAAAAGATAAAAAAAAAAGATAAAAAAGCACTAAAAAAGTAACAAAAGAAATACAAAAAAACAACAACAAAAAAAACACTGAAAAATGACAGAAAGCAGATAAAAGAAATACTAAAAATGATAAAAAAGATGCACTAAATAAATAACAAAAAAAGTACTAAAAAATGACAAAATAGCACTGAAAAGTGATAAAAGAAGCACCAAAAATGATGAAAGAAACATCTAAAAAATAATGATAAAAAAAGCACCAAAAAATAATATGATAGAAGCACAGAAAAAGTGATGTAAAAAGCACTGAAAACACTAAAAAAGTACTAAAAAACAATAAAAGTAACACAAAAAAATTACAACAAAAAAAGCACCAAAAAACAATGTAAGAAGCACCAAAAAGCAACAAAAAAAGCATTGAAAAACAATGATAATAGAAGCACCAAAAAAATGATAAAAGAAGCACAAAAAAGTAATGAAAAAAAAGCAACATACTGAAAAAATTAGTTTTATTTATCTTAAACATGATTGGCTATTTAAAATATTCTAAATTGCAAATTAGTAAAAATTTGTTAATACTACTGAAGAGATCATATTATCATTTATGTATTTGTTCTTTTCTAATTTAGTGTGTCATACAGAGATCAATATAAAAAATTTCTTTTTAAACTTTTAAAAAGAAAATTTTTATATCTGCTATTTTATATATAGTCTATAGATATAAATATACAGTAGGTGGCAAAAGTATCAATTTTATGCAAAATATATATAAATTCTTTTTAGAAAATTTTGTTACTAGACCTAATAGAAATTATATATTATAAAATATAAATATAAATTGTCTAATCATATAAAATAAAAAATATTTATTATTAAAACTTTAGATTTTTAGTGATCTTAAAATTTTTACTATGTAAATTTTGTAAAATTTAATTGTAAATTTTATGTTATATTAAAACTTATATTTTTTATCAAAATAATTTTATTTTACATTGCCTTTAAATATAATAGTAATACTAATAATAATTATTGCTAAGTTATTTAAAAAAATTTTTAAAAATTTTATATTTAATTTTGAATTTTATAATTTAATGCAGGTGTGTTGTGACACATCTATAAAATCTGGTGTAATGTGAAATCAAACCAAATTAGCAATACATTAATTTAGGAAAGTGTTAGTACTAATATAAAGTTAGATTAGATTGTAGGTAATATTAGTTATATCTAAAATTTTATAAGAATTTTTTTTGTTAGAACACAAAAGGTGGCTTTATAAGCAAAATTATGAGTTATAGACAATTTTTTCAAAATATTATTACTTTTTTTAATTTTATATTCACCTAATATTACAATCTGATTAGTCGATTGAGTAGGCATATTACAATGCACATGCACTAAATTATAATACTCTTTAATTTTTAAGTTAATTTTATAAATTTTATATGTTTTATATATAAAATTTTAGATTATAAACTTAAAAAATTAAAAAATCTAATTTATTTAGCCCATAAAATTCATATATTATATAATACAAATATTGAATTTATAATTATATTAAATTTTTTTTTAATAAAAAAATATTATCTTTTATATATTATAAAAATTTTAATTTTTATATATTTTACGATAAAAAAAACTTTAGGTCTTACTTTTGCTGCTACTCTATATGGGTGACGCCAAGAGAAAACCAGGAATTCTAAAAATAGACTTCCATCCACAGCGAAGTTGCGGGGTTTTTTAATCGGTCAATGTAATAACACGATGTTATTACATTGACCGATTAAAAAACCCCGCAACTTCGCTGTGGATGGAAGTCTATTTTTAGAATTCCTGGTTTTCTCTTGGCGGCACCCATATGTATATATATAGATATATTACAGGTTAAATTAGGTTTAGATCAAGTTAAATTTAATCAGGATCAAATTGATTTTAGCAGAATTTTAAGATTAGAGTGAGTAGAATTGTGTTGATGTTAGCTATGTTTTTTAATAGATCAATTTGATCTAGGTCAAGTTTAACTTAATCTAAACCCATTTAACCCATAACAAATACATATGTATATTACATCTATATTACATCTATACTTTAGTTTACACTTAATTAAAATTACACTAATAGTTTAAAATTAATTAACATTAATATTACACTGTATATAGTTTAAAATAAAAGTTTATTTTAAAGATTTAATTTATAGTGCTATAGCACTATAGTGCTAGAATATTGTAATTAATTAAAATTTAAAATCAGATGTAATATACAGATCACCCCTTTATATAACAAAAATAATTAATTTTTAAAAAATTAGTTATATCTCAAAATTTTATTTAAAAACTATCTTTTGTGTTCTAATAAAAACCTAATTAAAAGTTTTATTTTTTATAAAGATTAGATTGTTTTGATTTATATATTACACCAATTTTGTATTTAAATATAAGATAGCACTATGACACTATAGCACTATAATAATATTTCCTTTATCTTATACTATTTATTAAAATTGTATTATGGGCCATTCTTCCTAAAAGTTACAGTTTTAATATTTTTACACTTAAACCAAGTTACATCCTGTAAGCATTAAAATTTTTAATAATATAAATTATGTTATCAAATATATACTAATAGAATTTGGATATATGAGTTAAGATTGCTTAAACATGTTTATATTATGACTTGATCTTTAAATAAATATATATATTTATGTTTAATATAGACTGAAATAGTTTTGTCAGTTTAACACTTGCTTTTAATTATTTAGTCACATATATACATAACATATGAATATATATATTAGATATGTACTAAAAATAGAATATGCTTCTAAAAATAATAATGATATTGTAAATAAAATCATTTTATCATAATTAAATTGTTACAACTATCAATTTAAGATTACAATTTGTTTATTACCATATAGCTTTGCATATAGTACCATGCATAACAAATAATCTGATTAATTTAAATTAAGTTTTTAAAATATTATTTATATAATTATGTAATATAAAATATGTGTGATTTTTAATTTTTTACAATTTAAAAATTGTGTCACACCAGGTATTATATGCAATACTATAGGTAAAACAAATCATGTTCTTAGCAAATGAATTCAATAAATAAATTCTTCAAACTTAATAATGATATTTGAATTCAACAATTAAACTTAATAAATTAAATTTGATAGTTTAATGATCGAACAAAGTTTAGCCATGTGCTTGTATACATTGTAAAGAAAGAATTAATATAAAGGTGGCTTGGGTTAAATCTACCAAATATATATAAATCAGGCTTGATGCATATCAATAAGCTATATATTATGTATATTTTGTATATAGCTATATATATTTTGTATATGTATAGTGAAAGATAATTGTTATCACAGTACTTGAACAATTTGAATCTAGAGTATATTTTATATTTTGAATATAGTGAACATGTGCCACATAGTTATTATATGTAGTAGCTTTAGTGTATATATTCATAATTTACTTATTAATAGTATAGAAATAAAAAAGTTCTATATTTTTGGTTTAAATAAATTTCTGTTCTGGTATGTTTAGTTTAGTTGAGCTTAGTTTATATAAGTTAGTTTTAGAATTAGAGTTCATTATTGTTTGGCTCTACTATCTGTCTGATAAATAAAATCTATAATAATGAAAGGAATTAGTGACCATAATTTAGAGCTTTAATCTGACACCTAGTTACTCAGACCAAGTTTTTCTACACCTAAATCAAAACCTTATCACTATTAGAGTTTGGTTATATTAGTTGTGATGTTCTGGTTAGATTAGTTTAGTTAGTTTGGATCTCCTTTAGTATAGGTGGGTATATATAAATTAAAACAAAATTATAATATATAAAACCTAATTAATTTGAGCTAATTTAAATTCTAACCTTAACCTTGACCCTAATAATTTATAAAATTACTTAAATTAGTTCAAAAAAATTAATTTATATATGTTATAATTGCATAATAATTATATATACCCACCAATACTAAAGATCAACTATTAGTTTTAGAAGTGTATAGTTGTATTATCTAGATCCAGTGCATTATTCACATTTTTACAATATATGTATATATACTACAAACAAATAATTGCTTTACTTTACTTGACCTAACTATACTGACCATCTAATTCATGCATTTATACAATTGTATAAACAAATTTCTGATAATTTATATTACACCAGATAACTAATAAACAAATAATATTCTAACAGGTAACATTAACATTTTATCAAAGGATATACTTCTATTATTATAATAAATCATTATCTAACTTTTTATATAAAATTTGAACTTTAATAAAACCTATATAAAATAAAAACATACTTCGTAAATTTTCACTTAAACATATTGTTCCTTCAAAATTGTTAATTTTACCAACATTTTACTATATCTTAATATTTATAAACCACATAGAAGTGTACATCACAATAAGTTATAGTATACTTCAAGCAAATGAATTTCAATATTATAATTATAAAATAAACATTTTACTTTATAAAATTTAAAAACATTTAATATAAAATGCAGATTCAAAAAATCTTTTTAATACACCTGTACACTAAGCTCATTCAAAAATAACTTTACATAATCAAACAATACTATTAAAAATAAGTGCAGGTTACTCCTGTTAATATCAGCCCATTTGGATTAGACAATAAATGTTGACATATGCGAGGGTTAATAACAGCAGAATAAGTGGATAAATAAATAAGTGAATAAAAACAAGTAGATAAAGAATAAATGGATAAAAACAAGTGGATAAAAAAATAAGTGAATAAAAACATGTAGATAATAAATAAATAGATAAAAAATAAGTGGATAAAAAAAATAAATGAATACTGTAGTTTTTTTTTTATATTAATCCCAATTTAGCTAGATAAAAAGGCCTCGAGAATAATTCAATATTTTCATTAGCAATAGCATCATTATTCAAACGTTGTTTTAACATAAGTATTAAAGTTCTACTATCTTTAGCAAATAATCTAATGCCTTCAGAAAATTTTTCAGAAGCCATTGCATCTTCAGTAAATGTCCACTTGAAAGATTTCTCGTCATAAATAACTTTTTTTGAGTCCAAACAATTATAACGTGCTAATTCATAATAAATAAATAAATAAATAAATAAATATTGTAGTTTATACTTTTAAATATGTATATGTCGTGCATCAGATTAAAATTTGCATCAGATCAAAATTTAAATGTGGAATTTTATTAGGTATTATCGGAATCTGACAGATTTTAATTTGACGCAAAACATACATTTATCCAATAAATAAATCAATTATTTTATGGATACTTATATAGAGTAATTAAAACATACCAGTGTCAGGACTTAATTTTCTCTCAATTTTGTTATAAGAATATTGTAACTTATTTAATAACGCAGGACCAATTGTCAAAAAATCACAACCAGCTAATTCTTCAATTTCTCCAGTGTTACGAAAGCTTGCTCCCATAATAGCTGTTTTATATCCGTGCTTTTTATAATAGTTATAAATTTTGGTCACAGATATGACTCCTGGATCTTCGAAAGATTTATATGTTTTATTGGTATTTTTCGTGTACCAATCGAGAATTCTACCAGCATACGGTGAGATTATCGTTGCACCAGCTTCTGCACATGCAGCGGCCTACGTAGATTAAGTTTTTGAGAATGAATTAACGTTTAATGAAATTGTGAAAAATATATAGATTTTTAAAAATAGTATACCTGAACAAAAGAAAAGATCAATGTCATATTACATTGAATTCCTTTTTCAAGTATCTTTGCGGCTTGAATTCCTTCCCAATTTGAGGGAATTTTGATCATTACTCGAGATTTATCAATTCCACTTTCTTTTAAAAGTGAAATAAGGTGCCTAGCCTTGGCGATCGTTGCTTCGGTATCAAAAGATAATTTTGCATCTACCTCGACAGATACTCGACCTGGAACAAGCTTAAGAATTTCTATAGCAAAGTTTACCAGCTATATAAATATATAAATTGAATATATTAAATTTTAGTGAATTTAATAAGTGTTTTTTAATATATGAAGGTAAAAATAGGTCACCAATTTATCAGCGGTTAATTCCGTCATTCTCTCAATAGAACTAATAATGATAAGTATTAGTCAGATTACATAATAATAATTATTATTATTAATTACGATTATTCGTAATAAATGATTATTACTTTTCTTTACTCCTTGCATATTCAATGGCGGAATCAATTAAGTAATTATAATGAGGATTTTTAGCGGCCTCTAAAATTAACGAGGGATTTGTAGTTGCGTCTTGTGGATGATATAGTATTATTGCTGTTTTAAAAAAATTAAGCCAGAAAAGGAATTAATATTATTGGGTAATGCGGAAATTCTAATTTTACTAAGAATATTTTAATATCACTTATTATGATTTGTTAAAGTGATGATACGCACACTCAAAATCACCAGAATCGGCAACGACAGTAGTCCATTGTTTTATTTGATCAAGAACTGAAATCATGATTTAAGAATTTTTTGATATTGCAGAAATGTTGTAGAGGATATTTTTTGATATTGCAGAAATGTTGTAGAGAATATTTTAGAAAGCTGAAATTCACCTCATTTATATAAATTTTAGTCGATTTTATTACCGAGCAATGGTTTTTTCGATTTTTAACATCTGCACCACCTTGTTGTTAATTATAATTTTATTGTCAATACTTAAGGTTGGAAGCTATAGACTAAAAATTAAAGCTAAAAATAAAATAATAAAATTTGTATAAAGTTTTTGTGTTGAACTCCACATAATTGTTTATTAAAATTTTATTGTCAATACTTAAAGTTAGGGATAAAAATTAAGATAAAATTAGAAGCAATAGACTAAAAATTAAAGCTAAAAATAAAATTGGGTAAAGTTTTTGGGGCTGCGGAACATTTTACTTAATACATCCGGCCTTGTATTATTAAACACCACTAGCAATGCCGAAGGTGATTGAGGTTTTTAGATCTTCTGTACAGTACCTCAGCACTTACGTACTATACGTATACATCATATCTATTTTATCACAAATATTCGTACGTACGTACGGCGCAGGAAATACAATTTCCATGTCAAGATGATGCATAAACAAGTACGTACGTAGCTCATTGAGAATAAATTTCTTAAATTATCAATCTAAATAAAGTGTGATGGGCATGGAAATTATGCGTCAAGAAAATATGTACGAACGTACGTACATAATGCATACAGATGAGGCTTCTATATAAAGTGATTGAGATTTATAGATTTCCCTGCACCGTACGGCACGCACTTATTTGTGCGAGTAATACAAACCCCTAGAAAGGAAATGGCCAATCGGAGTGCACAAAATTTGATTGTTCCGGATTAAGGATGGCTCCGAAAGTATTTTGGCGTGCCGAAAGTCATGTCGAAATCGAAAGTCATATCGAAAGTCCTACCGAA